TTCTTTTGCTATGCAAAAGCTCTTTAGTTTAATTAGATCCCATTTGTCAATTTTGGCTTTTGATGCCATTGCTTTTGGTGTTTTAGTCATGAGGTTTTTTGCCCATGTCTATGTCCTGAATGGTATTGCCTAGGTTTTCTTCTTGGGTTTTTATGTTTCATGTTTAAATCTTTAATACATCTTGAGTTATTTTTTGTATAAGGTGTAAGGAAGGGGTCCAGTTTCAGTTTTCTGCATATGGCTAGCCAGTTTTCCCAACACCATTTATTAAATAGGGAATCCTTTCCCCATTGCTTTTGTCAGGTTTGTCACAGATCAGATGGTTGGAAATGTGTGGTGTTATTTCCGAGGCCTCTGTTCTGTTCCATTTGTCTATATATTTGTTTTGGTACCAGTATCATGTTTCAGTTACAGTAGCATTGTAGTATAGTTTGAGGTCAAGTAGTGTGATGCCTCCAGCTTTGTTCTTTTTGCTTAGGATTGTCTTGGCTCTGCAGGCTTTCTTTTGGTTCCATATGAAATTTAAAGTAGTTTTTTTCTAATTCTGTAAAGAAAGACAATGATGGGAAATTATATTGAATCTATAAATTACTTTGAGCAGTATGGCCATTTTCATGACATTGATTCTTCATATCCATGAGCATGGAATGTTTTTCTATTTGTTTGTGTCCTCTCTTATTTCCCTGAGCAATGGTTTGTAGTTCTCCTTGTAGAGGTGCTTCACATCCCTTGTAAGTTGTATTCCTAGGTATTTTATTCTATTTGTCACAATTGTGAATGGGAGTTCACTCATGATTTGGCTCTCTGTTTGTCTATTATTGGCGTATAGGAAGCTTGTGATTTTTCTATATTGATTTTGTGTACTGAGACTGCTGAAGTTGCTTATCAACTTAAGGAGATTTTGGGCTGAGATGATGGGATTTTCTAAATATGCAATTATGTCATCTGCAAACAGAGACAATTTGACTTTCTCTCTTCTTATTTGAATACCTTTATTTATTTTTCTTGTCTGATTGTTCTGGCCAAAATGTTCAATACTATGTTGAATAGGAATGGTGAGATAGGGCATCCTTTTCTTGTGCCAGTTTTCAAAGGGAATGCTTCCAGCCTTTGCCCATTCAGTATGATACTGGTTGTGGGTTTGTCATAAATAGCTCTTATTATTTTGAGGTACATTTGATCAAAACCTAGTTTATTGAGAGTTTTCAGCATGAAGGGGTGCTGGATTTTATCAAAGGTCTTTTCTGCATCTGTTGAGATAATCATGTGGTTTTTGTCTTTGGTTCTGTTTTATGTGATGAGTTTTGTTTAATGATTTGCATATGTTGAACCAGCCTTGCATCCCAGAAATGAAGCCAAATTGATTGTGTTGCATAAGCATTTTGATATGCTGCTGGATTCGGTTTGCCAGAATTTTATTTAGGATTTTTGCATCTATGTTCATCAGGGATATTGGCTTAAAGTTTTTTTTTTTTTTTGCTGTTTCTCTGCCATGTTTGGGTGTCAGGATAATGCTGGCTTTATAAAACGAGTTAGGGAGGAGTTTATCTTTTTCTATTGTTTGGACTAGTTTCAGAAGGAATAGTACCAGCTCCTCTTTGTACCTCTGGTAGAATCCGGCTGTGAATCCATCTGGTCCTGGGCTTTTTATGGTTGGTAGGATATTAATTACTGCCTCAATTTCAGAACTTGTTATTGGTCTATTCAGAGATTTGACTTCTTCCTGGTTTAGTCTTGGAAGGGTGTATGTGTCCAGGAAATTATCTGTTTCTTCTAGATTTTCTAGTTTATTTGTGTAGACGTGTTTATAGTATTCTCTGATGGTAGTTTGTATTTCTGTGGGATCAGTGATAATCTCCCCTTTATCATTGTTTTATTGTGTCTATTTGATTTTTCTCTCTTTTCTTTATTAGTCTGGCTAATGGGCTATCTAATTTGTTAATCGTTTCAAAAAACCAGATTCTGGATTCATTGATTTTTTGAAGTATTTTTCATGTCTCTATGTCCTTCAGTTCTACTCTGGTCTTAGTTATTTTTTGTCTTCTGCTAGCTTTTGAATTTTTTTGTGTTACATAAATTAACCCATTTATTATATGCCAGTGATGTCTCAAAGAGTAGAGGAGCATCTGCTGGTCTTTGAATTTGCTCTTTCTTACCTGGTTCTTTTACTTGTGATGTTAGGGTGTCAATTTTAGATCTTTCCTGGTTTCTCCGGTGGGCATTTACTGCTATAATTTTCCTCTAAACATTTCTTTAGTTGTGTCCCAGAGGTTCTGGTACATTGTGTCTTTGTTCTCATTTGTTTCAAGAACTTATTAATTTCTGCCTTAATTTTGTTATTTATCCAGTAGTCATTCAGGAGCAGGTTGTTTGGTTTTTTTGCAGTTGTGGGTTTTGAGTAGGTTTTTGTTGCTGTTGTTACATAAATTAACCTATTTATTATAGGCCAGTGATGTCTCAAAGAGTAGAGGAGCATCTACTGGTCTTCTGATGGTGGACTTTACTTTGACTGTGGATGTGGTATTGTATGTCTAGGCACTCCCAACCACTCTCTCCATGCAGGAACCACAGTCCCAGATCCCTATGGCCCATCTCTTTATCTTGTTTTGGCCACAGAAAGAGCAAGTGTACGTGGCATGCTGCCTAATTTCGATTTTATTCATCATTTTCTGGAGGAATGGAGGCACCATAGTGGGTCCACTATTTGCCAGCGATCTTCACTTTCTTGGTACATTTGGCCATGTTGCTGCAAAGTATGTCCAAGCCTAGAGAGGAAGAGATGTAGTATGCAGGTGTGGTATTGGGTGGACCTTCAATGAATTTCTTAATCCTGAGTTCTAATTTGATTGCACTGTGGTCTGAGAGACAGTTTGTTATGGTTTCCGTTCTTTTGCATTTGCTGAGGAATGTTTTACTTTCGATTATGTGGTCAATTTTAGAATAAAAGTTATGTAGTGCTGAGAAGAATGTATATTCAGTTTATTTGGGGCAGAGAGTTCTGTAGATGTCTATTAGGTCCACTTGGTCCAGAGCTGAGTTCAAGTCCTGAGTATCCTTGTTAATTTCTGAGTTCAAGTCCTGAGTATCCTTGTTAATTTCTGTCTCGTTGATCTGTCTGATATTGACAGTGGGGTGTTAAAGTTTCCCACTATTATTGTGTGGGAATGTAAGTCTCTTTGTAGGTCTGAGAACTTGCTTTATGAATCTGAGTGCTCCTGTATTTGGTGCATATGTATTTAGGATAGTTATCTCTTCTTGTTGCATTGTTCCCTTTATCATTATGTAATGCCCTTCTTTGTCTTTTTTTGATATTTGTTGGTAAAATCTGTTTTATCGGAGACAAGATTGGAACCCCTGCTCTTTTTTTTAAACTTTCCATTTGCTTGGTAAATATTCCTCCATTTATTTATTTTGAGCCTATGTGTATCTTTGCACATGAGATGGGTCTCCTGAATATAGCATACTGTTGGGTCTTGACTCTTTATCCTATTTGCCAGTCTGTCTTTTAATGGGGGCATTTAGCCTGTTTTCATTTAAGGTTAATATTTTATGTGTGAATTTGATCCTGTCATTATGATACTAGCTAGTTATTTTGCCTGTCAGTTGATGCAATTTCTTCATAGTATCAATGGTCTTTCCAATTTGGTATGTTTTTGCAGTGGCTTGTACTGGTTTCTTCTTTCTATATTTAGTGCTTCCTTCAGGAGCTCTTGTAAGGCAGACCTTACAAGAAGGTGGTGATGAAATCTCTCAGCATTTGCTTGTCCATAAAGGATTTTATTTCTCCTTCACTTATGAAGCTTATTTTGGCTGGATATGAAATTCTGGGTTAAAAATTCTTTTCTTTAACAATGTTGAATATTAGCCCCCACTTTCTTCTGGCTTTATGGTTTCTGCAGAGAAATATGCTGTTAGGTTATTGGCTTCCCTTTGTGGATAACCTGACCTTTGTCTCTGGCTGCCCTTAACATTTTTTTCTTCATTTCAACCTTGTTCAATCTGATGATTATATGTATTGAAGTTTCTCTTCTGAAATAGTATCTTTGTGGTGATCTCTGTATTTCCTGAATTTGAATGCTGACCCATCTTGCTAGGTTGGGAAATTTCTCCTGCATAATATCCTAAAGAGTGTTTTTCAATTTTATTTCATTCTCCCTGTCACTTTCAGATACACCAATCAAATGTAGGTTTGGTCTTTTCACATAGTCTCATATTTCTTGGAAGCTTTGTTCATTCCTTTTCATTCTTTTTTCTCTAATCTTGTCTTAATGTTTTATTTATTAAATTGATCTTCAATCTCTGATACTCTTTATTCCACTTGATCAATTTGGCTATTGAGATTTATGTATGCTTCAAAAAGTTCCCATGCTATGTTTTCCAGCTCCATCAGGTAATTTATATGCTTCTCTAAACTGGTTATTCCAGTTAACAATTCCTCTAATCTTTTTTCAAGATTCTTAGCTTCCTTGCATTGGGTTATAACATGCTCCTTTAGCTCAGAGGAGTTTGTTATTACCTACCTTTTAAAGTCTACTTCTTTCAGTTCATCAATTCATTCTCTGTTCAGTTTTGTTCCCTTGCTAGTGAGGAATTGTGATCCTTTGGAAGAGAAGAGGCATTCTGGTTTTTGAAATGTTCTGCCTTTTGTGCTGGTTTTTCCTTATCTTTGTGGATTTATCTACCTTTGGTCTTTGATGTTGTTAGCCTTTGGATGGGGTTTCTGTGTGGATATCCTTTTTGTTAATGTTGATGTTTTTCCTTTCTGTTTGTTAGTTTTTCTTCTAATCGTCTGGTCTCTCTGTTGCAGGTCTGCTGAAGTTTGCTGGAGGTCCACTCCAGAAATTGTTTGCCTGGATATCACCAGTGGAGGCTGCAGAATAGCAAAGATTGCTGCCTGCTCATTCAGCTGAAAGCTTCATCCCAAAGGGGCACCTGCCAGATGCCATCCAGAGCTCTCCCATATGAGGTGTCTGTCAACCCCCACTGGGAGGTGTCTCCTCCATCAGGAGGCACTAAGGTCAGGGATCCACTTGAGGAGGAAGTCTGTCCCTTAGCAGAACTCTGCACTGTGGTGGGAGATCTACTGCTGTCTTCAGAGCTGGCAGGCAGGGATGTTTAAGTCTGCTGAAGCCACACCCACAGTCACCCCTTCCTCCAGGTGCTCTGTCCCAGGGACAGAGGAGTTTTATCTATAACCTGTGACAGGGGCTTCTGCCCTTTTTTCAGAGATGCCCTGCCCAGGGAGGAAGAATCTAGAGAGGCAGTCTGGCTACAGCAGCTTTGATGAGCTGTGGTGGGCTCTGCCTAGTTTGAACTTCCTGGTAGCTTTATTTACATTGTGAAGGGAAAACCCCCTATTCAAGACTCAGTAATGGTGGATGCCCCTCCCCGCACCAAGCTCGAGCATCCCAGGTTGACTTCAGACTGCCATGCTGGTAGCGAGGATTTCAAGTCAGTGAATCTTACCTTGCTGGGCTCTGTGGCGGTGGGATCCATTGAGCTAGACCTCTTGACTCCCTGGCTTCAGCCCCCTTTCTAGGGGAATGAATGGTTTTGTCTCACTGGTGTTCCAGGTGCCACTGGGTATAAAAAAATTTCCTGCAGCTAGCTCGATATCTGCCCAAATGGCCACCCTGTTTTGTGCTTGAAACCCCATCCCTCGTGGTGTAGGGACTCAAGGGAATCTCCTGGTCTGTAGTTTGTGAAGACTGTGAGAAAAGTCTTCTGTGACTTCTGTCTTTTGTGAAGACTGTGAGAATACTATCTGGGCTGGAATGCACCATTCCTTATGGCAAAGTCCCTTGTGGCTTCCCTTGGCTAGGGGAAGGAGTTTCCCAACACCTTGAGCTTCCTGGGTGAGGTGATGCCCTGCCCTGCTTCTGCTCACCCTCCATGGGCTGCATTTACTGTCTAACCAGACCCAATGAGATGAGTCAGGTACCTGGGTGGAAATGTGGAAGCCACCTGCCTTCTCCATTGATCTCACTAGAAGCTGCAGACCTGAGCTGTTCCTATTCAGTCATCTTGCCAGCCATCCAACATTGGATGTCTTTTAATTTATTTAGGTGTTTAATTTTTTTTAACCATGCTTTGCAGTTTCAGTGTACAAATCTTATTATTATTATTTTTTGGGGTTAAATTTATTCCTAAGTATTTTATTGTTTTTGTTCTATTGTACATGGAATTGTTTCATTAATATATTTTAAAATTGTTTATTGCTTGTGCATAGAAATATAATTTAGTATGTGTTGATCTTGCAAACTTGCTAAATTTGTTTAGTAGTTTCTAAAGGTTTTCTTTTTCATAGATTCTTTAGTATTATCTGTTTATTTGATTAGGCTATATGTGAATAGAGAATCTTTTACTTCCTTCTTTCCAATCTTTATGCCTTTTATTTATTTATTTCTATCTAATTGTTCTGGCTATCATCTCTAGCACAGTTTTGAATGGAAGTGATGAGAATGGACATCCTTATCCTATATTTAAATTATAATGAAGAAATACAGAATATGTATTTACTTGCTCTGTAGTTTATCAAATTCATTTACAATTAATCCTAAGGCACTTAATCTTCTATTTTATGATGATGATAATCACGAACTATTTTAATTCTTAGTTTCTAGTTGTATAAGATTCATACTTTTCTGGTTCCTAACAGTGGTTTTCAATAGTTTATTTCTCTGAATGCTGTAATAGGTGAAATATCTATACTCTGAAGCAGATGCACATAGTCTAAATCTTACCCCCTTGACTCATTCATTCAATGCTTTTTGAACAGTCCCTGTATTTCAGGCTCTGTAGATACTGAAGATACAGAGGTAAACAAGACAAATATACTGACTGCTCTCATAGTAATCACTGTTTATTATATGTATTCTTATACTATGCTTGTAAAGCACCACATACCATGTTAGTGTAAGTAGTTATCCAATTGTGTGTTTATGTCTGTGTGTGTGTATGTGTGTGTGTATAATTGTGGTCTGTAAATGTATGTATATTTTTATGGTGCTACATTTATAAGTGACTTATGTCCACAAATTGCAATGGCAAAATCATTTTTTTGAATATAAAGCTAATGTATACAGACTACTCCCATGGTTTTTAGTTACTAACACGATTGTTCTGAACTTTGGCAGGCATCAGAATCACCTTGAGAGCTTGGTAAAACACAGATTGCCAGACTCCACCATTGAAGGTTCTAATTCAGTACCTCTAAGGTGGAGCTGAGAATTTTGCCTTTCTGACACGTTTCAGTTGATGCTGATGTTGCTGGATTGGAACCATACCCTGAGAAACAGGGCCATTAGAAAACATTTTTTTGTCACTGTGTTTAAAGTGTATTTTGGGACACTTCTAGCATAGGAATTATGTGTATTTTCTAATTCCTCCACATCCTTTTTCTGGATGTTCATTTACCTGGAGTGGTAGAGGGCTCAGTTTGCTAACTGAGCTAATAAATCCTGCTACTACAACCCAGAACCTTTTCTGTTTAGGCTGAAAATTGCTCTCCTCTAGAGATTACGTGGCCCAGCAGATTAGAAAATCTTTCACACAATGTCATGATCTAATGAGATTACTCTTTAACCTTCAATTTCCAGTAACATTCCAAATGCTAGTGAACTATTATAACCACAGTATAATCATAAACGTTGTACTAATGATCTTTCAGTGATAAATGTATTTCAAGTAGGAACCATTAGATAGAACAAGAATTTTAGATACATCTTTTTGATTAGTTCTAAGAATTTGCGGTTTATCCTTCACATGCATTTTTGCATTTGTGTTTTTATGCATCATTTTTTAATAAAAAAATTGATACAACAGCATTATGTTTTCCAAAGAGTTTACAATTACAACCAGTAGTTAGATAATAATATCTTTAATGTTTGAGAATGTTAGAGGCCAGCCAAAGGGAAAAGGCACTAACTGCCATGTTAGCCAAATAGGAGCCTCACCTGAATTACCCACATCATCATTTCTATTCTTGTCTCTGCTTTGAGATGAGGTCTAGCTCTGGAAAAGCATTAAGTTGTCTTGTAGCTATATTGTAACAATGTAAATAGGCATGTCTTAGCATTTATTAGAACTTCTGTATTTTTTCCTCCTGACATCCACATTATTCTCCTTTGTGTTTAATAAAGGCCCATGGCTAAGAGAAAAGTTATTCATACAGTCTACTTGGTCATATACTTCCCTGCTGCCTGGCTAGTCTGGAAAAGAGTCTAATTTGCTGATGATTACAATTAGAGGGGAATGATCCATTACATTAATTTTAATGAGCTGCAGCAGGTCACTTGGTTATGAATGGTACCATGCAAAGGTTGCAGTTCATGGTGATATGGAATCCCTGACAGCATCTTTATGACATTTGTGTGGTGTCCATAACAAAGGAAGGCTTACTAGTTTGTAGTCATAGAAATGGCTGAACTACACTGCATCTTTCCATTTGGACAGGCTTTCGTGTTACTATCTAAAATGCTTAATAATTTATAAACAGAGCTTATGTAACTGGCAGTTATGATGCACAGCATTAACTTAGAAGTGGTCTTTTAGTAGAAGGGATGATAAAGGGTTTCTACATTTATTATATTTCCTCTTGCTTGATTTTAAGGGTACATTTAAACTTCAGCCAGTAAATTCAGGAGCTCTAAAAACCAATTAATGATTTAGTTAAAAAGTCTGAAGCAGTGTGTAATAGACTGACTTGTCTCTTTGAGTACAAGAAAGATATTTCTATGTGGAAATTTTAATTTAAGATGTATTAATATTTTAAACAATAGATAGGTGAAATATAAGCCCTTCAAGAAAATGAAACGTTAGGAGGACAAAGTAAGAATATTTACTTTATCTTGCATTAAAAAGGGTACTTCTCTGTGATAGTAAGAATTTGGTCCTGTTAAATTTTTTTAGTTGACCAATAAGTAAACAGAATATTAAGCTTTATATAGCATTTAGTAAAATGTAAAAGAATATACTTAAAAGACTTGTTATTTTTCAAGAAGTCTTTTATAAGAATAAAATAGAAACACAACCTCAAAAGCATGCCTTTTTTCCTCAAAACTAACCTATGATTTAAGAAAGGCTTTGGGATTAACTGTAGACATTTTTGAACTGGGGACTGAGAAAACTATTTTCTTTTGCCTAAGTAGAAAATTTTGTATATTTTCAAAACCTGAATGGGTGAGGCACATCCCAAGGGGCAAGCAAGGAGTTAAAAAAGGAAAATCAGAGTCTAGAAAGGAAGTCCATTTGGATGTCACTTAAGTGGAGACACAAATCCCTAAGGACCTCCCCATTCAAAAGGATAAACATATAACAGGTGAAGAATGCTCACCTAATGATTTCAAGCTCACAGCTATCTTCCCTGCACCATTATCATAAATTGCTAGCTTGGCAAGGGAGACACAAGCAAAGAATTCATTGTTTGAATCAAGTCTTTTGACAGAGTTTCTTTCCTGGTTTATATTTATATGGGTGTTCCTGCCCTTATTTGTATCTTTGTCAACACTGTTTCATTTTCGCTCGGTATGGAATTTTACCACCACATGTCCAATTATTTTTCTTCATTCCTGTCTGTCCTCAAAGGAAGAACAGAGAACTTGGAAGTGCATAGTACGAAAGTTTGACTGGTTTGAACAGAACTGTTAGAGGTGTTCAAACCAAAGTGACTCCAACTTGAATAGGGACTGGGTAAACTGAGGCTGGGACCTGCTGGTCTGCCTTCCCAGGGGGTTAGGCATTCTTAGTCCCAGGATGAGAAGGGAGGCTGGCAGGACTGGTATCACAAGATACAGGTCATAAAGACCCTGCTGATAAAACAGGATGCAGTTAAAGAAGCTGGCTTAAACCTACCAAAGCCAAGATGGTGATGAATGTGACCTCTAGTCTTCCTCACTGCTCATTATATGCTAATTATAGTTCATTAGCAAGCTAAAAGGCACTCTCACTGTGCATATGACAGTTTACAAATGCCGTGGCATCATCAGGAAGTTACCCTATATAGTTTAAAAGGGGGAG